TTTGTAAATGGCTGTCTTCTCTTCACTAGAGACCTTATACCTGGAACTTGACAGCTGTTTTGTAGAGGAAATTCTAGTTCAGATATGATTGACCTGGATGGCCTCTAAAGTCTCTCTAAGTGACTACAACCTAATATTGGGGCTATAGTCCCCACCCCCCCAAGGAGAATACTCACGGGACTTCCAGTTTTCAGTTTGCCATCATTCCTAACTCTGCTGAAAGTGTCCAACCTCATTGTCACTACCAACATAGAATAAGAAAGAACTGGCACCAATGTGCAAATAAACTGTAGAGACTAAAGAATGCAGCACCATTCAGGCCATAGGCTTTGATTCTAGCCCCTGTCCTGAAACCATCATTCTAGGAAGCCATGCCTCTGGATGTGTGATTGACAACTACACCTCCAGGTGCTAGGGCCATAGCTACTGAAAACCCAATAGAGAAAGTTATCACCAGTAAAATCTTTGGAATAGTCCAATGCTTCACCTTCAGGGATGGCTTAAATTATATTACTAAACAAAAGGATCAAAGAAGATATACTTCCTTCTGTTTTGCCACTACATGCTAAGTAAGTTCAATAGGACTTTTCTATCTAATTTTCAACTGAAATTTCCTAATCTCCTTTTAGAATATGAGCTTCTTGAGAGTAGGGGATAAATTGCTTTTCGATTTTTATACTCAGTCATTCACATAGTGCTTAGCAATAGGTTTTAATAAATGTTTTTATTTTGTTTTGTTTTTGTTCTATCCATCCATTCATTCATTCCACCATTTATATGAATGGCCATTTGGATATCCAAGCAACCCTTGGTGTATCATAATTGTAGGAAATTTGAGAAAGGAGAAAAGTTTTCTTTTATCCCAAATCATAATGTGACTGCAGCAAAAGAATGAAGAGCTGCTAGGTTTTTTAAAGAAAGCAATTCTTTATACAACTAAGCAATATAGAGAGTTTAAGAGGCCCTTTGTCTCAGGCTGAAGATACTTGAAGGATGTGGGACCAAATGGCTTGTCAACCCATGCTACGTAAAAGCCATGATATGTCAGCTACTGCAGAAAAGTCACACTCTCTGACACATGCAGCAGAAAAAAACAGTGATCTCCTAAACAATAACTATTTCCTCTTGTCCCCCTGCTTGAATCTCCACCAAACATCCTATTTTCCATAGTTCGACTCCTGTGTTTCTCTGAACTTTGCACCTAATATAATTATACTCTTTTGTCATTCTGTCACACAATCTTTCCCCCATGTGTTGACTTTTTATGCTTAACATAACCCTGAATCCTTCAAAACACTCCTGTATCCTTGTGAGATGCTAGTCTCATCCTCTGGACTACATTTCCCAAGAGACTCCTCAAGGGACCCACTATGTCCAATCTGCAATAGGCTTGCTTCTTCAATTTATGTTTCCCAGAATTTTCTCTCCAGGGACCCACCATCACAGCTTCATTCTCATTACCTGACAAGGTTCCTCAAGACAGTGGCTTCCTTTGTTTTTTTAAAGATGCTAACTCATCTATCTTGGGCCATTCTGGACATTGAAAAGGTGCTAGCAATGTAGATGCCAGAATTTTAATGCTTGCTAGAACAAACTATTTCTTTGCAATTTCAAGCACACAGGTATGAGGACTGCAGACATGAGAAAACACTTGGCTTTTGACCAATGCCGTTTGGTAACAGCACTTTTGAATTTCTGACTCTAGGCCTAAACAATCCCCAAGAACAGACTTTTCTGTGGAATAGTATATATCTTTCTCAGACTATCAACCAAAACAAAATCTTGAGGATGGTAGTTTCTAGCACATGAACTAAAGATTGCAAATCCCAGACTACCACAGGATATCTAAGATAGCTCTCTCTCAAACAGTAATTTATTGTATCTGTATCTATATTGACATGTATATTTATATGTCTACATATATATATATATATATCTATAGCTATCTATATAAACATGTTTTTGTGTATATGTATAGGTGTACATATATGCACATGTGTGTATCTTTGTATATATGTATGTATTTATATATGTATCCACACATATGTATACACATGGGTGGGTATGTATGTGTGTGTGTGTGTGTGTATATACATACGTACATATATGGGGTATATTTATATGTGTATGTGTATATATGTGTGTATGTGTGTGTGTGTATATATGTGTGTGTGTGTATATATATATATACATATATATATACACACACACATATACATATACCCACACCCATATATAAATATAAATATATATACTTACACATATACATATACATACACATAGACACATGTGTTTATATAGTATGTGTCTAGGTGTGTGTATATCTATATGTGTAAGTATATACATTTATATTTATATATGGGTGTGGGTATATGTATATATATATATATAATGTGTCTATGTGTATGTATATGTATATTTGCACACATATATGTATACATGTATGTGTATTTTTTCTGAGCATAATTATAGAAAATAGTTATATCAGGGAAAACTGGCAAGATTGGTTTTCACATTTTTTTAGCTTTGTATTTAAATTTTGAAAATGCCTCAAAGCTAACATTTTTAAACTATTGTTATTTATCTAAGCATTTTATTTAATTAAATTCTATTTATTGCTTTATTATGTCCCCTGTTTTAGTCTGGTTAAAAATAAAAAGAATCATTAGCTGGTACTGTGAGCAGTAAGTTTGAATGGGTGGTGAGCTTATGTGAACCTTGAACCTGGGTATAGCATTAAGGAACCCGTGCTTTAGGCAGAGAAAGGTTAATGTAATCCTTATCATAGAACATAGATTTGGAACTAAATGGGGGTATATAGGCCATCTAAACTATGCCACCCCCAACATTTTACTATTGAAAAAACTGAGTCATAGTAAGATTTTAAGTAACTTGTCCAGAATTACACAGTTAGTGTCTAAGGTAAGATCTGAACTCAGCTTTCCCTGACTAAATCCTGCCAAAATTTTAAAATTTACATTTTGGTCAAAATGTTCTGGCTATATGATAGTAATAACTAATACTAGCATAGTGTTTTAAATAGTATACTAGTGTAGTGTTATAAGTAACTTTAAACTCTGCTCTTGGCTTGTAACTGGAATATAACTAAATTTCTATAGCAAAATATCTGGGATCTTTTGCAGTACTGAACACATGACAGAAAAGGATGGAGTTTTGTGTCATGTACAATTTCCTCCCTAAGCCATTAATGAAATATAAAGTTTCCAAGATTGCTTGTTGAATGGGAAACCAGTGTTTCTGTGAGATAAAAACACAGAACTAATTGTTTGTATTAGTGCCTTTAGGCCTTGTGCCATTTTATATGCAAATACAATAGAGCAATTTGTTTTACATGTGTATTAAGTCAAATGGATCAAATTATCTGTGTAGGGTGAACTAGGTTGATAGGCCATTTTATTCTATTAGAAAATAATTTGCAATTCAGTGTTTTATCCAAATCTAATTGAAATGTATTCATGTCCCTGAAAAGCAGGGATAAACTTAATACATAAGGACAGTGGTTATGAGTTGATAAAATATCTAAACTTACTAAATTAGAGAACAGTTAGCAACTAGATGGTTTAAAACAGCATAACTGCATCCACAGAGGGGTCAAAAACAATCATTGGAGATGATGAGGGCAAAGCCATGCAATGTATCATGTCATATTATTATTGCACACTAAGCTATCTTGCACAGAGTGATAAGAATATAGCCTCTCCAGATTGAGATTCGCTGTGTTTGGTAGCAGGGGACAGGGAGAATTGGAGATTCAAATTTGTAGGTTCGTTATCATCTGATGTGAAGCCAAAACTCCCACCAATGCACAGCTCAAAGAGGTTTATTGCCTGTGACAACTAAGCATAAACTTTGTTATGAAGTTCAGAATTTTGCTGTCGATTCAGAAAGGAGGTAACACCCCCAGCGTGGCAAAGTCACAGCATCGTGAAAATCATATGGCTGCATTTAAATGCTGTCCCCCCCCCCCCACCTCCTTTCTTTTTTGTTGCCGCTACTCAAAATACAAGATTTATTTTTGGAGAAGTGAGTAGTAGCCTTCTGGCAAGGACAACTACTTGTAGCTTGGATAATATAAATATGTGATAAAGTAGGTATTTCTTAAACCCTGTGCATATCTTGTTCTACTTATACGTAAGTACATTAGGGGTCAGTGATGTCTACAATACACACAAATATGGGTAATTGCACAGGAAACAAATTCTAACAAATTCTTCTTGAGTTGCTGCCCCTTTCACTGCCCCCCCCATGCCCAACACATCCCAACTAGATAGTTTGGTTATAAACCTCTACAAACTTCTTAAATTGTTGTTAAGCTGTTTTTTGGTCATGTCTGACTCTCTGTGATCTCATTTGGGGTTTTCTTGACAAAGATAGTGCAGTATTTTGCCATTTCCTTCTCCAGCTCATTTTATAAATGAAAAACTGAGACAAACAGGATTCAGTGACTTGCCCAGGATAATACAGCCAGCAAGTGTCTGAGGCTGGATTTGAACTCACAAAAATGAGTCTTTCTGACTCCAGGCAAAGTACTCCATCCACTGTGCCACCTAGCTGCATGTAGGTACAAAATTACTTGGTTTTTAAATGACAGAGCATATCAATGAAACCAAATGCAAATCCTTAGGGGCTGCTAAATTTGGGGCTCTGTTGGTATGGCCATTGAAGACCAAAGATCTTGAGAGGAGGGCTCTGACAGGATTTGAATTGCTGCTTTTTTTCTTTTTTAATTGTGCAAAATTGTTATGCTGCCTCTATTGGGCACTTGAAATCAGGAAAGTCTCTCCACAGATGCAAATTGTGTTCTACACACTCTCATTTAAATGCTGTATCTCATTTTAATACTTTTGTCTTTGGTTATCTTATAGTCATTTTCCAAAGGGATGGACAAGAAGAAATCACCAATCATGTCTTAGAATCACAACTTTTAGAGTTATTACAATGGAATTTTACTTTCTGTTCTTTTCCTCCCTTACAAACAGAATATGTAAAACTAAAAAGAGGGCAATACTTATACTGAAAATGAAGTCACCACAATGTAGAAGGAAGTTCTCTGTATCGATTCCTGCTCCTGTTATTTCAAAGCTGTAGTACCACACTATGTGGTGTGCTGGACTACTCTTTTCATATGTATGGAATATTCTGCCTATAAAATTGCCCTGTCTTTGATATAGAGCAGCTTCAAAGTGATAAATGTTTATTGGAGAAGAGGCCACAAATGTTTGGTGCGTATTTTTAATCATTTAAGTTATCTTTTAATCTTTAATACTCTGGGGGTGGGTTGGGGAAGCAAATGCTTTGACAGAGGTTTATGAGGTATTATTGAATGTCCCTATTAAACCCAAATTAAAAAAGTAACAGATTATTGCTATCATAGATCTATATAAGATTTTTCTCAAATCATGAAAATTGTTTTGGTTGTATTCCAAGAATTTTTTCAGCTTTGTCATTCTAGGGAATATAATAATTAATGCCTAGTACTTTCTGGCAGAATGTTGACGGTTAGAGGACCTAGGCTATTGTTCTCCATCCCCCACCCCTACCTTGTTTAAATCTAATACAAGATTGATAACCAAAATTTACAGATTGAACGGGGGTGGAGGGCATTTTGTTTATTCATGGAGGAAGATGCACTTAATTAAAAATCAATTACTTCCTTGAAAAATTGACTCCAATGACCATCAGACCTAACAGAAATTTCTCTCAACCTTGCTCTTTTTTCCTTATTTGGAAAGGGGGGAGGAGCTTTCTCTATCCTTTCCCTATCCTCTTCATTTTTAAAGCGTGTGATTTAAGGAGTATACTGACTCTTCAACTTTATTTAGGCAAAAATGGATAGGAAACTACTCTTCTATTAGACAGAGGAACAATTTATCATATTTTTCTTTTCTTTTCTTTCTTTCCACTCTCTGTATTAGGAACTGGGACATCCATTTCTTAAAGCAGATCCTAGTAGGCCTAAGACGCGTACAGGTTGGTAATCTATGCAATATGTTTTAAAGGAATAATTATGTATCTTCTTTTTTTATCATTAGCTATTACATTTTCATGATTCAGAAGTCGTTTTTGAAAGATATGCATATTTATTCTAAGGTCAGAATTTTCCATGATCGTACACGTGCTAGACACAGCTCAAATTATACTGAGTTTATGTGATCAACATTGTAATAAATGATTTCCCTTTTCATGTGACTGTTTTAAATCTCTCTTCTTTTCTGCTCCCTCTTTTCCTTCTCCTCTTTTTCTTCTTCCTTGCAAAATTTTAATTTCCTTTATGGATTCCATTTATCATCACTTCATACTCTAGAATTTTGATGCATCCGTGAATTAATTAGTATGACTGTCTACTCGCCCAGGTTGTTATCCATTTACTTCTTTGTATCTTGTGAACTTCTTGTCCATTTCCTTTTATAAACCCAGATCCTATAAGTATAATTTGCCCACCTCTAGACCTTGTTCTAGGTCTTCTAATATTTCATAGATAACAGTCAATCAACCAAAAAAATTTTATTTAGCAACTACTATATGATAGTCACTGTACTAGGCACTGTACTAGGCAATAACTATATACACATACATATATGTAAGGTGTATGCATATGCATATATGTTTATAAATATAAATATACTTACACATATAACCTACATATCAAGTTATTAAGTACATATACATATAAAAGTTGCATCTACTCATCTCACCCAGGCTGAAAGTACAGGGATTACTTATGGTCCTGGTCATACCATTCATTGGCACTGGAGCCTTGATCTGCTCTCTTTTCAGTCTGGGCCCACTCACACCATACTGGTGTCAAAGTGTAGCTCTGAATTCCCAACCTCAAGAGACCCACCAGCTTCAGCTTCCTAGCAGCAGCAATGATAGGTATGTGCTATGCCTGTCTATTCTTCTTTGTGTTTGTAGGCCTTTGAGGCCAACACCTTCATTTTACATTTGAGAAAACTGAGGTATGAGGGGAGGGGTAGGAATAAGCATTTATATGGCACTTACCACGTGTCAGGTTTTGTGTTAAGCGCTGTATAGTTATTATCTCATTTGATCCTCACAATAGACCAGAGGTAGCTGATGTTTTACGATTGAGAAAACTGGAAGACACAGAAATTAAGTAATTTGTCCAGGGTCACGCAATTAGTAAGTAACTGAGTTCAGATTTAAACTCAAGTCTTTCTAACTCAAAGCCCAGTACTCCATGGATTGTTCCACCTAGCTTCTTAAGCACAGAAAGATTTTAAGTGACATACCTAGGGTCATATAGCTCGCAAACATGTAAGGTAAGTTATAAACCCCACTATACACACACACACACACACACACACACACACACTCATACAGATTTGTAAAATACAAGGTAGTCTTTAAGAGAAGAGTATTACCCTACTGTAATACTCAAACTATCATGTCCTATACTTTGTGACCCCGTTTGGGGTTTTCTTGGCAAAGATAGTTGAAGGGGTTTGCCACTTTCTTTTTCAGCTCATTTTATAGTTGAAGAAACTGAGGAAAACGGGGTTAAGTAACTTCAAAAGGGTCACACAGCTATTAAGTGGCTAAGGCCAGATTTGAATTCACAAAGGCTGAGTTTTCTGACTCTAAGCCCGGCACTCAAACCATTGCACCACCTATCTGCAAACATGAATCAATAGTGATTGTGGTCTTCTCAGACATCTGTATGGGCAATAATAACAGCTGTTATTATTTCCTTTCTTTTACAAACTTCTGCTCTTTGTGATATGATGAAAAATCAATACCTGAGTATCCTTTACATATTATTTATGCCCCCAGCTGAAGTTTCTTCTTACTGTATTTGGCCAGGTTCAATCAGTCTTCCAAATTTTATTTTCTTGAGTACAATTTCCACTTCTTCATATATTACATTTACATAGTTGTTTTATAAAGCAGTCAGCTGAAAATGCCAGCTTTTCACCTTGCCTGCAATTGATTAAACTTTTTTTGCTTCCACGCATTCTGAAAGGCAAGGATGATCGTTAACTGACCTTGAAGGTCCTTTCCATCTCTTTCTATGTGTTTTAATCAACTAGTATGTGCTGGGATCCATGTCACAAATAGTAGATTTAGATAATATCAGCAAAATGTTTTAGTCTAAATTTATGAGTCATCATGGGCAGCCATATTGGCCATACTTTTGTTCTAGGTCAAGAGTCACAAAATACTGAGACTATAGAGACATGAGATGAAGAGATGATGAGTAAGAATGCCAAAAGAATGCTAACTTTAGTAGCAACCCTGACATAGATCAATGGTGTTGAATGTTGGGATGGTAGATTAGAATGAATTTAGAATTTAGATTTAGAGGACTTAGATTCAAATCCCATACTTACCACTTACAATCTATGTGACTTTCAAAAATTTATTTCACTTTTGTGGGCCTCAGTTAATTTGTATGTTAAATGACATTAGATAATCTCTTAAGTTCCTTTCAATTCTAAGTCTAGGCTACTATCATTAAAAAGTAAAACAAGCAAGGGGCAGCTAGGTGGTGCAGGGGATAGAGCACCAGCCCTGAATTCAGGAGGACCTGAGTTCAAACCAGGCCTCAGACATATAACACTTACAAGTTGTGTGATACTTAACCCCATTGCCTAGTGAAAAAAAGAAAAAAGTAAAACAAAAAAAACCCAAACACCTATCCATTATACTTTTTATACTTTTTTTACGCTGTCCTTCTTCACAACACTTTAATTTAATTTAAAAATATTGATTAGAACATTATTTTTCCTTGGTCTGTGTGCGTGTGTTGTTTTTTTTTTCCCATTTGTTTCATTTATGTGTATGCTGTTGTATCAGCAGACAGCAACACCTAATGATGGTAATGATTGTGGTTGCTCAATAGAGTAAACTGATGATATTAGATTAGGTCACAAGCAGAGTAAGGGCTCATCTTTGACTCATATTAGTTGTGTGTGCCTTTGGATAAGTCACTTAATCTCTCAGTGTTCCAGTTGTTCAGTTGTTTCAGTTGTGTCCACGTCTGATGCTTTGTGGTCCCATTTGGGATTTTCTGTATAAAGATACTGGAGTGAGCTTCCTTACTGGGAGTTCCCCACCATTCATAGTCCAAGTTAGTCTTTTTTTTTTTCCCAAAGGAAGAGAAGGTAAGGATGGTGGAGACATACAACTCCAGGTTTTCAGATACAAAATGCTTCTTGCAAAAAAAAAAAAGATAAAATAGAAAACAGAGAAAATAAAGGGAGAGAATTTGAAGAGGCATGAAAGAATTGGTACTTATGTCAGGAGATTGGAAGATATAAGAATTTATCACTTAGGAAAAAGGGAAGTAGAACTACTGGCCTCCTGAATGAAAGTCTTCTTTTAGAAGGAGAATAGTCTCCTTGAAGAAAAAACATAAGCCTAATCTCCAAAGCAGAATTAATAAACTTGAGGTCCACCGAGCTCCCAGAATCCAGAAGTAGATTTAAGGGGATTTGTGACTTGGTATGGGAAAAATACATTTTTTTCAATAATCTCTAACTGAAATTTATCATTTGCTTCTATTATTTTAAAACATTATTCTGAGAAGAGATCTATAGAAATCCACCATATTTCCAATATGGTCAATGACACACACACACACACAAAAAGAAAATCTAAGAAACTCTGCTCTAAAGAGTGATATTGTACAGATCTACAGAAACTTCTAGTGTCAGAAGAAGAAAAATAGTAGTGAGTGGCATTTGTCTATTGGGTGATATTGAAACAAGCATTTATAAAATTAAAAAAAAAAAGAAAAGGAAAAAAAAATTAGAAAAGTCTCCTGTCTTCATGTGACATGAATCCAAGACATGGCAGACCCTCCCAAGACCTATCAACATGAATGTCTCCTAAGCACTTCTGGTGATTCATGTAGGCACAAATGAAACTTCTGTAAGGAATCTGGAAAATTGCTATGGATTATAAAGTTTAGGGGGGAAACTGAATAGCCTAAAAGGAAGAGTCAAGCTTTGTTGTGACATATATTAGGAGTGTTTATTTTACTGCTGAACAAATGCAAAGAAAAGAAAGATATATTTGGGAAGCGAACAGTGGTTAAGAATAAGGTAACAGAATGGAATTTGGATTTTTTGATCAAGACTTAAAATTCAACAATTTTCTCTTAAGCATGTTCTCTCTTTTGTCTCTTTATCTCTCGGTCTCTGTCTCTCTGTCTTCTGTCTTTGCTTCTGTCTTTGTTTTTCTTCCTGTGTCTCTGTCTCTGTATGTCTTGCTGTCTCTGTTTTTGTCTGTATTTCTCTGCCTCTCTACAACTGTCTCTCTGTTTCTATCTCTGTTTGTCTCTGTCTCTGTTTCTCTCTCTCAGAGAAGCTAGTATATTCTTAACTTATTTTAATGATTATTCTTTCCCTGCAAAAAATGGAGGAACTTTTAGGATTTTATTTTCATTCTTTACCTTTTTTTTTTTTGAAGAAGAGTCTTTTTAACTTCACCCAGGCTGGAAGTACAACAGTTACTCAGAAGCCCTACCTCACTGGTGATCAGCGCAGAAACTTTGACCTGCTTCAGTCCTGACTTGGGCTTCTTCTTACGATATCTGCTGTGCTTCCCTGCCAGCGACTCACCTTATTGTTGCAAATTTAGTATAGATCCCAGTAGGCTTTAGGCCTATGCATGTGAGAACTCCCAAGCTTAAGTAATCCACTAGCCTCAGCTTGTCCAGCTGGAGGGACTACAAACATGCACCACTCAGCCTTGGATTTGATTTTTTTTTTAATTTTATTAATTTATTTTGACTTATCAACAATCACTTCCATATGCTTTTGAGTTTAAAAATTTTCTCCCCCTTCCTCCCCACCCCCTCCCCAAGATGGCACAGAATCTCATATAGGCTTTACATTTATATTCCTATTAAACGTATTTTCACATTAGTGAAGTTGTAAGTAAAAATTAAAATCAAAAGGAGGAACCATTAGAAAGATGAACCAAAACTCAACAGAAGAGAAAAA